GATGGTATACGCGCGTCTTGCGCGTCCTCCATTTTGTAAGTTGTATACAAAATTCACTTACGTGTCCTTTGTTCGGGGTCACCAATTTTGCGGTCTTCTGGATGTCCGGTTCATAAACGGGAATCTGATTATAGGCCTTCGTAAGATCGATCGTGGAGAAAATGGTGCAACCTGAAAGGGAATGGGAAAAGTCATGGATGTGTCGTACGGGATAACGGTCAGGGATCGTCCGGGAGTTGAGCTTACGGTAGTCACCACAGGGGCGCCAGGTGCTGTCTTTCTTGGGCGCGAGGTGAAGGGGTGATGACCAGGAGCTCTGTGATGGACGTGCCGTACCGTTGCTCATCATGACCTGAAACTGTTCTTTGGCGATTTTCAGCTTTTCAGGAGCTAGCCTACGGGGAGTACACGATGTAGGACGTGACGTATGATTTTTTACTTATTGTGCAGACAAAGGTTAATGCATATTACAAAAAGAATTAGGCAATCAATAAAGTAATAAAAATAGAATAACAAATGGTAAACAATAAAAAAAGTTTTAGCTTAATAGTTGTAAATTAGAAAGCCATGTGTACATTAATATTGTCTGGCGGCGTATTGAATTATTACAAGATTAATGTAAACATCGTGTTATATTTATCAGAGAAATTATTAGTTTCGATAACATGTCTGGACGTGCTCAATTGATGTGACAGCTTATTTATTAAAGTTCATATTTTATTTTCGCGTTTTGTATTTGACTATTTTTTTATGTTGTAATATTCCTTTGATGTCTATGACCAATAAAACTCACGATCTGAAAAACACTTTATGATATTACGAATTGGTGGGTCAAAAATAAAATTATATACCACTAGCTGTTACCCGCGACTTCGTCCATGCAATATTAGAGAAAAAGGTAACCTATAACATGCCCGTCTGTCAGCTACCCCTCAGTGAAAGTTCGGTCGAAATCGGCCCAGCCGTTTCGAAGATTAGTCGTAACAAACAGACATACAGACAGACAAAAAAATCATCATCTTCCTAATCTGGTTTTCTTTTGATATTACAGACATGCTATTTTTATTATACGTATAGATTAGTTGGCATGCCAGTACAATCCATAATTAACATATGATGGAATGTAGGCACCGATGCCTTCGGGGCCAGCATATAGAAGTATAAACAGTATTCAAATTTAACGAATGCAATGAGGCGGCGGGACGGCGAGATGAAACGCGCCGCTCCCTCGCTCCTCGCTCCGGCTGCGATCAATTGCACATGACACTCAAATGAGTCGCGACGATCAGATCAATGAGATGGATCCGTCAGCGCCCTCTTTCCGCCGACGTCTTCTGATGAATAACACCCGCCACTGATTGCTTTATTGATCTTTTTTATGCGCAGTGACCGACGTGCACATGTGAGGTATAAATGGAATAGATTGTTAGACTTTGTGTTAGAAGTAGGCAA